TTGTGAAATGGAGAAAGAGGACGAGCTTTTGTTTAATTTCTTTACACACATTTCTCAGTTATCTTTCGAGAAAGCGAAAGAATTAGTGGTGAGTAAAAATTATGACTGGACTCATTTTGGTATTAATTTCCAATTGAATGGAAAAAGTGCAAACTTTTTGTCGCATTGAAGGTCTCATTTCAAGCAGAATTTCACTGTGCATTATAATAGGAAAGAGATAAACCCCCAAAATGTCCCGTTACTCCGAGAACCATGTTCTCCAACTTCTTGCAACAACTGGCGTTAGCAGAGAAGAGCTACATGGATATCGGGTTTTTGCAAAACAAGCAAAAGAGCTTCCTGAGAAAAGATGTGAGTAGGCAGGCATTTTCCGCAGGCTTATGTTGGCGAACCATTTTGCGCAGAACTCCCTGAGGGCTGTCTATGAGTACATGAAGAATGACCTGAAGAAAATTGAGGAAAGTTGCAAACATGTTCGAGGAGTCCAACGAGATTCTAAAGAGGATCAACGAATTCCAAATTACTGCCAGAATATCGCCCAGTTTATCAATGCCAGGATCAACTTGATCGATTTGTATAAACTTTCCCAATCCTGCAGTTTCAGAATTAATATATTTTCTATAAAATCTCCCTAGATATGAAAAAATATACAACCAGGCCATGACCAATAAGCATATGGCTTATGTGGATATTTTAAATGCGCTTGAAACCACGATACAAACCCACCATCTGGGTTTTACTGATATCACTCTGACTCCAATAAAAGCGGTTTTCAGTTTGGAGTGCGACATTGTGCAACAGCTATTTAAGGCCATGTTTGAACTGCAGAAACTTCAGTTTCTGCCCTCTTTGGCCTTAATTCATGGGGTTCATACCAGGCTGTTGGCCTGGGAGAGCAAAATGCAACGAGAGGTAATTCGACAAAGGAAATTGGCACATTTACGGATAATTTGAGCGCTTTTTAGACATGGAAATTGGGCATATTTAAAAACAGCCCCCTGCCAACATTGTACCAATGGCTTCAGAAGCTAAAAGGGGCGGTGCTAAGCAAGTTTAGCCTGTATTTTCACGATATCTTGGCTAATCAAACCACTCCCACTGATATGCGGCATATTTGCTCCAAACTACATCATGATTACTATCAAAAGTGAACTTCGTTTTTTCAATATACTTCTTATTTGAAAACGCTATGGTTTTAGGATGGTAATATTCCAGAGAAAGCACGAAGCGGCTTGTGTGATATTACTTTCTGATAATCAAGTTAATTGTGAAACTGCTGATTACGATAGTTTTCCTATAATAGTTTCCTATCCTCCAGTGAGTAGATTTTTAGCCGCAATCGCATTTAAAACTCCATTTCGACGTTTTCAGAGAAGTCCTCCCCAACTAGATATAATGTTAAAAATGATATCAGAAACTAATGAGTTTCTCAGTCTCAAGCCGGTAACTAAGTTTCGCTATCAGGTTAGTGAGCATTAATTTTTTGCCGCATGTAGAAAGTGTTTTATACTGTAAATATCCGCTTAATCCGCGAAACTTGTGGTGAAATCATTGGTTTTGATACATTTTTAGGATCAATGTACGTACTGTTTAACCATGGTGGAACCGAACATATACTTTGTGATTTTGTTCGAATCGAAGAAAACTGAAAAAGACGCCTGGATTGGCAATTTCGTTAACGACTTCTGCAATAACCTTCGATGTACAAAAATATTCGTCAGTCTGAAAAATCCTGTAAAGTAACTGGCCGTAAATATTATATCTATGTAAACCAAACGTGAAAGCTTTTCTACAACCCATAAAGAAGGAAAATGGTTAAAAGGGGATTTTTAGTGACACCTTTTTAGTATCAAACCAATTTTCAGCTGTTTCGTTTCAGAGAGAAATCCTTTAAGTGCGCTTCAGAAAAATAATTTATTCCTGGAATTCATAGCCAGAAATTCTCTAATGTGTTTTTGGGATTTAAATATAATTTTTTTGAAAACACCCAACTTGCTTGATTTGGACCCCCAATGATACCTCAATTTCTTTACAAAGTTCCCCATCAACTTGTCCCAAACACTCCCATTTCACAAATTTTTCATGCAGGGTGAGACAGATAACATTTACCACATGTTTCGTTTGAAACTATCTTCCCCTGATTTTTCGCGAGCGTAAATACTGATAATTGAAAGTTTTACAAGTTTCTTGGTAGGAAAACTAAACATTCGTGTTTCCAGTTCAGTTGGCTATGGGGGTTGCTAGGGAAACCCCATCTACCTGTGGTAATTTTGTCAAATTGTGTCAAAGTTTAGCGCTGAAAATTACTGTGAAAATGTGGAAATTTTCCCTAAATAACGCGAAAAACTACAAACAGTTGCGGGCTTTTTATGCCAGTGATGCGAAAACAGCGACAGCCACCACAACAGAGGCGCAGCCTACGATTATTCAAATGGGGACCACCACAGGTCAGTTTATTGCTACTTAATGTACTCAAATAACAATAAGGCAGCTTATTTGATTGATTTACTTAGTTTATTTATGTGAAAAACGCATTTTTCATCGAATTTCTGTCGTAGCATTCACAGATTTTGCTAATTCCACAGGGTGTATTCAATCTAACTTGTCTGACAAGAATGTCATTTATGCGCACATACAGGGTTATAAAATAGTATGTAGTTTAATTTATTATTTTGAATTATTTTCCTGACTACGTGTAATTGTTATTATATTATTTTCTTTCCTAGGTTCCAGTCACAGTGTGGAACAAAAAAAATGTGAATATCGTTTATTTCGTTACGTTTCGGCGAGACAACAGCGCCATCATCAGATTTTAAAATTCATTCAAACTCCTAATTGGTAAACATTATATTCATTTAGGTCTTTGCTGTCTTGAAACCTTCAATTTGTTTTTCTAGAAAATGAATATAATGTTTACCAATTGTGTTTTAATAAATTTTAAAATCTGATGATGGCGCTGTTGTCTCGCCGAAACGTAACAAACTAAACGATATACAAAAATTTTTTGTTTCACACTGTGACTGGGGCCCAGGAAAGAAAATACTATAATGTTTAATTTATTAAAATTAGCTGATGTTTCCACTACCAAGCCGCCTCCAGCGACCCCTTTAACCCTGCCCGAAATGCCTGCAATTTCAAAATCCCTAGAAACGCCTTCTAGTGTTCAAACCGAAAAAAGCGTTTGTCCCTTTGATAATGTTCCTGGTCCCCAAAGCCTTAAAGTGATATCGCAGCTTTGGAGCTACGTGCCTGCTTTGAGCACCGAGTTTACTGCCGGCACCCTATTTCAAGCGATGAATTTAGGTAAATTTTTTGGTAAGTTTGTCTAAACGATCCTATAAAAATAAGAAATTTCTATTTTTTATTGAGGATTTTCTGTTGGATTTCATTTTTTACCTACTCTTAAAATACTGTGATATTAAATATGCGACCACCAGGTAATCTTCTAAGTTGGGGAGGCAACGCCAAGTTTTTCCAGAAGTTCTTCAACGTTTACGGCCCAGTGGTGCGTCTTCATGGCCCTTTTGGAGGCGACGTTTTGCTCCTATCCAGACCTGAACATGCGAGCATAGTTTTTCAAAGTGAAGGCGCTCAACCAGTGCGAGCCTGTCTGGATTCCGTTGAAAAATACCGATTGCAGCATCGTAGATTGAGGCAAACCGGACCGATTCTGATGTAAATGGTTTCAGGCGTGCTTTTACGAACAATCCTGCTAGTTTTTTGTGGCAGGTCTGGACCCGAATGGGAAAAGCTACATGAAACGCTGGAAAAACCGTTGTTTAACTCGCCGATGCAGCACTTTAAGACCATCGACTTGATTTGCGATCAGTTTGTTGAGCGCGTGTTTTCGGTCCGAAATTTGCAGGATGAAATGCCCAAAACCTTCAAAAACGATATTCTCAAATGGTGCTTAGAATGCGTGTGCTCTGTTACATTGAAAAGGTGCAACCTCGAACGTCCAAACTGATTTTTTTTAATTTACTCGGTAAATTCACTTAGGAAATTGGGATTTATGGATCCTACTGGTTTGAGCCCGAATTCTGATCCAGGCCAAATCTTAGAAGGGGTGATTGGAGCAACTGAGGCCATTAGAAAGTGCGAATATGGTGAGTTTTTCCTAAGAGTTTTGGAATAAATTATCTAGGATACTTTCTGAGGATTTCACATCTGGAAATTTGTGAAAACCCCCGCTTGGCGATCCCTAGTGAAAAAGTGCGATCTGATTAATTCCATTTTGGGCAAATACGTTGAAAGAGCCCAATCAACGCTACGAGAAAAAAAAGATATTAAATCAATGGAAGATCTCTCCATCATCGAGAGTTTGCTGCTCAAAGACGACATTCTCGTGGAAGATGTTATGACTGTTATGCTCGACATGCTGTTGATTGGCGCGAACGCCACTGCCCATTCCATATCTTTCCTGCTCTATCATTTATCGAAAGCGCCCGGGTGCCAAAAGAAGCTCTATGATGAAATAATGAAGCAACCGAAAGAAATCACTATGGATTCTCTGAAAAACCAACCGTATCTACAAGCTTGCATTAAGGAAAGCATGCGATTAAACCCGCCGATTCCCATTCTCAACCGAGTGTTGGCAAAAGACGCAGTGATTCACAAGTATTTCATTCCCAAAGGGACTTACGTCCTTATAGCGGTTCACCTGGCCAATTTGAGGGAAGAATATTTTGAGGACGCCAAAACGTTTCGCCCAGAGCGATGGTTGTCGCAGGAAATTAGCCCATTGGCGCAAGAATTGCAAGTATTTGCGTCAATGCCGTTCGGGCATGGGCCGAAGTCTTGCCAAGCTAAAGAACTGGCCCAGATGGAAATTGGGCTGCTCATCAACAAATTGCTGAAGAAGTTTTACATTGAGTACAATTACGGGGAGCTTGAGAGCTCCAACTCTTTACTGGCCACTCCCACCAAACCGCTGAACTTTCGATTTGTTGACCGTGTTTAGTTGTTGCGTTTATTTGATGTATTACATTGTTAAATTCTAATAAATTCTAATGATTTGCAACTGAATTGATTTAAGGAAAGTGATGCAACATTCTTCTACATTACTACAAAGAAAGTATCTTTATTTAAATTCACCTATAACAATATATGTACATTGTAGTATTAAAACGAATCATTGCGTTGCTATCAAAAGATTAGAACATCTACAGTTTGAAATATCGTTCCTAAATCTAGCGATTGCTTTTCTTTATTGTAAATATAACAGTTTTAAAAATATGTTTTTGTTAATCACACTCGTTTGAGTCAAATATGTCAGAGATCACAGAGAAGAGTTGGACCCAGTCACAAATATGTAAACGGATGCCACACTAATGCATATATTTGCAGAAGGCCGATGTTCTATTAGCAATAGTTTGGTCTTCTGGAAATATATTGGGATATATTTTTAAAATGGGGTGCTAGCGGTGGAGCAGCAAAATCTTTAATGAAAAGGCTATTTAATTTTCTGCGTTTTAATGACTAAACTTGGAGGAAACATTATTTTTTATTTAACTGCTCCACACTGTACAGGGTTTCGCATCTCAGATGTTTGATTTTTTAATTTATTCGACATTTTTTGGAAAACGTCATTTTTGCGGAACCAGAAAGTGTTTCACGGAAAACGGCACAATTTTGGTGTAAGGATGTAAGCGATGTTTCCAACAAATAAATGAACTGAGCTGCAGGACTCTGCATAAATAAATTGAAATTAATCTTCCGTAAGAAAAACTCAATTCTCTCAACTGGGTATTCATTTTAATCGCCCTTTGATCCACACATTTTCAATGGAATGTTCTTTTTGATAAAAAAAAAATTGCCCCATTTGTTATTTCGGCGTTGAGAACTTGAAAAAGAACCCTTTCCAGTCTCTTTTGTACCGATACAGTTACGTAACTAATGTCGATGTATTTCGAAGAACACTCAAGACCATTCTATGGCTTCACAAATGTATGGTTTTGTGATTAAAGCTGCCTGACTTGCACATAAATTACAAATGATTGGATGTTATCACATTGTTAACGGTGAATGATTTTAGTTTCCAAATCCAAAAAAAAAAACTTGCTCGTACTACCCAGAACATGGCAATCGTATTGTTATTGCACCAATTAGCATTAAACGAAGAGATTTATTTTGGCACATAGAAAACCTAGATTGCACGGTTTTGCACTTAAATTATACCTACAGAATTTACACTGTTTGAATCTGAAAAAACACTTGCACTGGAATTGTTTATTGGCACTCGATTGTTTCCTTCTCCTGCAGATTGCTCATATTCAGCCACATCAATGATTTCCATTAATCGGAGGATCTGGCGAGCAAACGATATTCACATGTCTATTTCCACTACTCAAATCCGTAGGCCCTTCCATGGATAAATCCGTGGGTTTATCATCAGGGTCATGATGGTATTCCACCCTTAATATCTGCTCACTTTTCACTTCTTGTGACGAGGGCCCATTCGCAGGGTGCTGTTGAGCTAGAGCCGGCAAACTTTGCTTCTGAACCTGCTCGTTCAGTTTTATATGAGATGGAACGGCTGTCGGTACTCGTTGAGGAGGTTCATGAGACATGTGGTCCTTTTCCATCATTGGTTGATCGATGGGTTCCGGCTTGATGGTGATTTGTGGCAGAAATTGGTTTGAAACTGGCGGCTTGGTGGCTGTGGGAGACATTTGCTGCCTCAACAAGGAAATGTTTTTGATGTTTTTCAGCTCTGTTGGGTTGCGCAAGAATCTGCAAAAGTCACATTTGTACTGAAAGTTTGTTCAAGTGCTTACCAACCAATGCTTACTGGTAACAGTGTCTTTCCCCTTGGACTTTCCTCAGAATGTTCACTCTGTAGTAGTACCTCAATGCTCTGGACATCTTGTCGTAGTTCATGGAAAGGTGGTTTTTCTGGATTCCCCACAGTTTCGCCAATCCTGGAGGATCGACAATCTTAAACACGCCAGTATCTCTGTTTTTCCACGCGATATACCCGGTATATCTCTGAGCGGGGTCATTCAGCAACTGCTGAAGAAAGTCCCAAAGAAGACGACCATCTATGGAGGGAATTTTCAGTCAGTTAACATGCCTCAAAGGGTTTCACTGAGTGCTTACTGGTATTGGGCTCTGAGGCTTCGTTGCTTCCGAAAAACTCCCTCTTGTACAGGCCGGGGCTTCCCACGCCCTCCATCTGCTTGGGACTTCTCGGTGTCAAGAATGGCATCTGTGGAATATTCATGTAGCTGGGCGTGTTGGGTGGGCTGCTTATGTAACCATTCTTCGCTTCGATGAACTTGTCATCTTCGTCGCTGTCGCTTGGATTCGAGCCCGATCCGTTCGAACTGCTCCCGTTCGTACTGAAGATGGAATGTCCGAAACTCATCGGCGCATCTGGATGGTTTGGACTGCCTGGAATCGAACGTGTATGCTTTTTTAGTTACGAGTTGAATAAACTGGTTAATTTTCTTCAAGTAGTTGGGAGTTTCAGGACGGGGTAGGATAGAATTTCTTCAGAAGTGCTTGCGAAACGCCAGGAAGAAATTCCTTTCTACAACCGCCTGAAAGTCCGAAAAACTCCCGATGTTCCTAATGTTTCCTACCTGATTGGCTGTCTATTGAGGGGGCCGGACTCAGAGTAACACTGTTACTCTGAGCCACCAGATGGGCCGCTAAACTGGCGGCATGGGACGAATGGTAGTCAGCTGATGAGTGGGACGTTACAACGTTCCAACTGGGCGTAGTTGGTTGAGATGTGTGAGGAGATAGCGAATAGGCATGCCGTGAAGTGGGAGTGATCGGGCTGCTTGGTAACATCCTCTATGTATGTGAAACCGCACAGATTAAACAGATGTAAAAATCGCGATTTACTGCCGACTGCTTACCAAATTATTCGCCTCCCTGATTAAGATCTGTAGCACATTGTGCAGAACATCCCCAGAACATGGAGCGCGCTCCGATAGGTCGGTGCGCGTCAGCAAACACATGGCTTTGCCGTTCATCTGGAACATCTCCAAGTCGATGGGCTGAAGATCGAACTCCCTCTCGGCCCAGCTAACAATAAACGCTTAGATAAAGAGAGCTCTTCAACAGGGCGCGACGATGGCTTACCGTAGAAACACCAGAACATCCTCCCGGCTCCAGAGCCGCGGGTCTGCAGACAAAGAGCCGGGCAATTGGGTCTTGTACTCCCAAAGGGGGGACGATGGGTGGCTCACTGAAGAAAAGCCCAGCGGATATCTCCAGAAGAGTTCCGGACTGAACGGCAGTGGCAGCTGAAGTGAACCCGATGTCGTCGTGGGAATAGACGGCAACGGTCCCGGCACGAGCTTCATTTTTCTCTTCTGGATCAAAGTAAGCATGTTGGATAATTATTTGTAACGAGGCCGGATGACTTATTTTAACGTTCCAAAGTGCCTCTGGACCCGTTGACCACTCGACATAACGTACAAGTGCGATGAAAGTACGATCTATAATTAAAAAATTAATCGTGCTTTCGAGAACTTGTGAGTGGTCTGAACAGTACCAACTACCCACAACATAATCGCTCTAACAAGAAAAAAATCGAAATCAGGTTGAGATAAACAGACGTGCAACGCAGCCGAGAATGTGCTTCGGATGGGCATTCGGTCAACGGAACTCATAAATTGAAAGAAATGTCGCGTAGCAGCAGCAACAGAAAGTTCAAAAAGAAAAGAAAAAGTCAGCTTAGAATGAAATTAAATTGCTAAACTAAGAAATGATCAAACTCACCATCCTTGTGCGCTCTTAAACTGTTACTAACAGGAAGTGGAACTGTTTGAAATCGATAAAAATATTGAATAAGTACTGAACGTTGCTGGCATACAACAAATATAATTATTGCTAAAACAAAAACCGATAAGCCAATGCAGCTCAACCTTTTCTGTGATAATTGTTTAGAGACTTGTTGCGTCAAGCCGCAAATAGCGCGGTTTTATGTTTTCTCGGTGGTAAAACTGCGAATTGCTCCTACTTCAATTCACAAGACAAGAATGTGCTTCGGAGAGACTCGATGCTTGGGGAGTCTGATAGAAGTTTCTAGTGGAGTCCATCTCTTTGGCTATCGGAAAGTTTTTGGTACGCAATGTCGGTGTATCCCCCTAATGTACCAGGAAAGATAACAGTATAGGAAGTTGACGTCAGTCTGCTGTGATGTCGCTTGGAATTCGAACGATTATTCCAAGTTGGAGATGGACATTAATCTTCACACTCGAATCCGGTTAAACGCAATTAGCTGGAAAGCATGCGGAAGATCTGGAGTGTTTTATGAACTTGTTGGTTTGGAAATTTTTGGATTCAGCAAATTGTTTAGAGATCTATTTTCCGATCGGCTCTCGTATACCGGGTAGGCAAGACAAAGACCTAGTTATTGCACGCAGGGGCTCTCACTCCTGTGCACAGCGCCGAAGCTCGCCGATTGTACCCGACCTCATTCGATTCGATTCTTCATATTACAGGGGGCGATTACAACCGATTGATAACCATAGTCAAGAATTCCAAGTAACCGGAAATAGAATGAAACTTTTTTGTAAAAATGTAAAGCATCGGTAAATCCGTTTGGCCAGCTGCGTATTATCCCGGAAACCCGGTTGAATAAATAATTCCAAAACCGACTTAGCCTTCACTTACTTCCGCGATCGTCAAGTCAGTTCAATTATGCTGTTTGCCAATCGTTAGGTAAGTGTTTTTTTTTAAGACCAACACGCGTTTCCTTTTAAAGCGTCTATCCGTGATAAAACACCGGCAATAATTGTTGCAAAGTCCAAACACTCCGACCTGGTTTTACCTATTGCTTAAAGGCTTAACCATTCGTTTTAAAGCCCGTTAAACACAATTTGGAAACCGGGTATTATGGCCACGTGTTAAGGTGTTTACACACCAACTGTGACTTTGATTGGATGCGAAAGAAAGCACGGGCTTTAATTAATTTTTAATCGGACATGTGATGGTAAATGCCGCAATTGATCGTTCAATACTAAGCCTTTAGTGTTTAACACTTGACAGGATAAATGATTGAGTTAGCTAAGTACTTTTACTGGTTTTCGAACAACTTTTACTGGTTTTCTGGATGGATACGTTTAAAGCCGATAAAGTGCGACAAGCGAACACTTAAATTTGGTGTGAACACTAATTTGTACAAGCCTAAACAACTTCATTGGCAGTTCTAGCAGTTAAAGCAGTTGTGTTTACTTAACTGGGTCGATTCTACAATTAGTTGACGCAATACAAAGATGTTCAGATGTAACATTAGTTGATAATAAAAGGCATGCGTTGAAATGTGAAATGAAACCGGACAATAAACTATTTACGAATGACTGAAGAGAAGATTTAAACAAAATCCCAAATCGGCCATAAAAAATGGCGAAATAAAGTGCATGTTTCGGGCTAATAATAAATAAATTAAATACGTTGAGTTTTAATAAAAAATCGATACTTTTGCTTAAAAAAGTCGAGTTTTAAGCAAAAATCCGCGGCATAAAATGTGAATTAAGAAGCAAAACTACCAATTAATATTTTAATCCAATTGCCATTAATGGGTTAGTGGTTTTCTTTGCAAAATGTAACTAATTGATGCTTCCTTAATTCCTCCTGAATATTTTTTTAGTTTTTTGCATTTTTAGATAACATCTATTTCTATAAAAAGGTGTACTTCAAAAACACAAAAAAATGAAAATTTAAAATACAGCGGCTCCACAAAATCACCTGAACTAGTTAGTGTCTTTTTGCATAGACTTTGCGCTGTATTTGTTCCTTCTTTCGTATTTTTATGACTAATTGTGTACAAAATTCAGTAACAAAATCACAATATAATAAACACTAAGGCAAAATATCTTAAAACTGCGGCAATTTAAGCCGCGTGCTTCCACGAAAAGCGAATATTTGCCATCATCTTTGCCAAATTACATTCAGGTAACTGGTTTCCAAGATTATAACTGTCTTCAAAAAAAAATTGCAACATTACTTTTACAGGCAATAAAGCCAACATGCATTTTTTAACATTTCATCGGTTTTCATCGCATTTCTTAGCAAAATGTGATTTTTTGCCAGAAATTCATACAAAATCTAACTCTTGCCGCCCTTAACCGCAAAGCGCAAAATTTTCTATTTCAACTGTTTCGGATCTGTTACTTAAGCATGGATGAAATATAATTAAAAAAAAAAACAACCATAAAACAAAAAAATGCAAATTTAATTGTGCATATAAAGCACACACAAAAAATTCACCATCAGCAACCAACCGAGACAAGAAAGCAAAAACCAAACGCAATTGATTAGGCCTTGACACAAAACGGAAAAGACGAGCACAAACGCCTGTAAACAGTAGCAATAAACTACTGGAAGATAAAAGAATAAAATGAAATAAAAACAAACGGAATACCTCCGATCAGCATCATCATCATATACATAAGGCAAAAATATTTTATCTGAGTATTCCACTTATATCAGCGCGGTATGTTTATTCTCAAAAGCACCTCCTTATCTTGGGGCCATTTTAGATAAGGCAGTTCCGCTTCAATATCTCGAAAAATTGTTGTAATAGCTGATAGGAGGATGTTTTTCAAAGGTGTACTCACTCAGAGAGTAAGTGTTTGGGTATTGCGGACGAAATGACGGTCTACTTCAGTAAATCCCATGTGAACAGTCTACCGGAATCAGGCATTGTCCTTTAGTTATTCGCACACTTCAATCAGATGCATATTTCTCAACAGAGATAGGAATAAAATGTGCCAACAATGGGCCAAAGTGGTAACAAGAAGAGTAGATTTAGTGAAATCGAAAAAAATCACGATTAATGAATTAACACGTTATAAGGAAGTTGACGAAAGGACAAGATTATAAGCGAATTTATCGAAATATTGACTAAAAGAAGAATGAAAACACTCGAATACGCCTGGATAACACTGTGTTGAGTTGCGCTTTTGAGTTCATGCCGCTCTATGAGTTGCTGAGTTATAACTCATCGCGCTTGTGCGGGAATAATTCTTGAAATCAGAACCTTTAAAGAAAATTTGTAATTAGTTGAAATTTCGTTGGTTTCTATCATCGCTCGGAAATTGAACAACAATAAGCAATTAACAAAGCAATAAACAACGTTTAAGTGACTTCTCTAGTTTTGGTGTGTCCATTAATCACTGCAGCTGAGTGAAATTCACACAAATTTAAGTTGGCTCTAAATGGCTCTAAATTTAAAATTAAATTAGTGAAAGACCGGCAATTGGAGCGTTTTTCGTTTAGTAGTTCACTTTCGTTAAGTTGGATCGGGAAATTTGCCTTTGAAAATATTGCCGTGCGAACAGGAACTTTCTACAAAAATGTCAACAATTATTGTATATTTTTCTTTCCTGAGTTTCAGTCAAAGTTTGAAATAAAAATGTTCATATCGTTGATTTCATATAACGTTTCGGCGAGACAACAGCGCCATCATCAGATTTAAAATTCTACACAAACTACAAACACCAATTTACAATTCAAATATGTTGTAGATACAGAAACTGTATTTTACAAAGCGTTAAAACATTTATTTGTTCTTAAGGAAAAAAATCTTTGGGAGAGGAAAACATTTGAAAAATTTACCACATAATTGGAAAACATTAGATTACTTTTGTTTTGATTCCCAAAGATATTTCTTTTTCCTTAAGAACTAATGAATGTTTATAAGCTTTGTAAATTATAGTTTTTATACAACATATTTTAATTGTAAATTGGTAAATTTGTAGTTTGTGTTGAATTTTAAATCTGATGATGGCGCTGTTGTCTCGCCGAAACGTTATCTGAAGTAAACGATATAAAAAAATTTATTTCACACTTTGACTGAAACCCAGGAAAGAAAAAATATAACAACAATTACGCGCAGTCAGGAAAATAAATCAAAATGTCAACAATAAACGAACTGAAGTCGAACTGCCAAGTAAAGCATGAATAATCGAAAGGGCGAAGAATGAAATGATAAAATAATCACGTTTATTCTGTAGTTCGGTCTTTTTTCTCGAAAAAGTGTATGGATGTTCAGTTTGCTACCGACAGTAGACGAAATCAGTCAATAATCGCATCGAGGATGGGGCGCCAGCTTGTAAAAAACTGGTACGAATGATCTCTAATCTATAAATATTTTAGTTTGAACTAAGTAGTTTTCCGACAAGCAACTGAAGTTTTGTGGATTCTTCATGTTTCTCTCTGTTTGCTTTGCTGATTTCAAATGGTTTTGGTTTTGGACAGATTTCCTGCTGTACTAAACACATTTTCTTCTTTCTTTCCAGGTGGCACCCCGCAGCTTTCGGTAAGTTTAGCATTACTTTGCCATTGGTTGCCATGTACATATAGACCTTTTAGTCCCATATTCATCAAGTGCCTCATCAAGAGTATGCTGCTGCGAGAAAGCGTTCATTTTCAAATCAACATTTACGAAGCGCGCAAAATTAAGGATTTCATGCGATTTGAATGAACTTTTGCAGAAATTTTGACGACATTTGGAGCGCATCCTTCGCTACTGAAAGCACAACTCTGAACTTGGAGTATCTGCTCATCGCGTCACACTGTGCCGCACCATAGAGTAAGTAAAATAATTTACTTACCTTATTTTACTTTCTCTATGTGCCGCACTTTGAATAAAGCTCGTGTCCCAGGCATCCGTTTATACGATGGTACGATGATACGAGTCTTTCTATTGGTTGGAGATCTGTCAGCTCGAACGACGGCGACGAATTGACAGATCTCCAACCAATAGAAACACTTTCGTATCATCGTACCATCGTATAAACGTAGGCATGGGACACAGGCTTTACGTTTAGCACTTAACCCAGGGGCAGAATAGTCTAACAAAAAAAAGTCACCATATTTTTCAGGAGCCAACATTTTACCAAATAGGCGACTTGAACAACTTGTTTCGTCACTTATGTCCCTCCTTCCAACATCCAAAAAAGAGCCAACAGAGCTGAATATTCCTGAACTGTTCACGCTCATTCTTAGACCATTCCTGTTACCACACTTTTCATCTCCTCCTCTAGTTTTCCTTTTCGCTCATGACTGCTAAAAAAAATTGAATCCGCTAAGCCAAACGGAACTGTTAACACTCCCACAAACTGCCACACCGCATTGCATTGTGGCAAACTGTTATAAATAATCATAAAAACCGAGCAAGCTACAATAATTTATCCCGGAACGGAATGACAGTGTTATTGGACTGGCTGTAAATATTTGCTTGCAATAATTATGGATTGCTGTTAAGTGGCTGACGTCATCCCATTAAGCACCCACCTAAAAGCCCAAGAAAACACTTTCCAAGTTGATGTTCTAGTATTGCCATATACTCAACATGGGCATTTTGTTTCATTACGTATGTATCATCCGCAAATAGAGAGTTCTACACAATTTCGTCTCCGCCGGTGGATCAGCGCTTCACGCCGATAAAGCTGAAGGTGGTCGTGTCCTTTGAGTCCCTTCGATCTTTTTGTTTTTAAACAATTAAGCACTTTCAGCGAAAAAAAATCCTGGATGATCCATAAATTCAGCCAAAAACACTTACAAACTTTTCCAAAACCACTGACTAACAGGAAAATGAGATTGTCCGGTGCTATTTGCTGCTAAATCGTGTTTTAGGTATCAACAGTTTATAACCCCACATGGAAAATTGTCGCTAAGATGCATAATAATTGCGTTTTTCGCAAAGGTTTGAGCATTTTTTCTAACGTCGCCCATTGATTGAGGTTATCTAGCGCGTCGATAGTCAGATGGCGGATTATTTGTCTCTTTCGGAAATGAAAACACAACGTGGTGTATATTTTTTTTGTGGTTTGTTAGCGTGGTGAAGTGATTTTTTAATAAAACTAAAAAAACATGCCAAAAGTAAATTTCTTCCTAAATAATACAAATCGACCCAAACTGAATACGTCTACATGATAGGTATCCAAAGAAACAATTTTCATTAACTTTAAAAACATGTTGCGCAGTTTGGCAAGACCGCTCGAAAGTTAGTCTGAAAATGGCTATTTTCCGCAAACTTTTTGAGTGTTTTTTGGCTCAATTTAGTGTTCTTTAAAGTAAAACAAGAAAAAATTAAACAGTCGGAGGGACTCAAACGACCCGATCACCAAACTTATGTGGCTTCAAAGTAACGTAATCATCTGGTTTACACTGGTATTTCCGAGAAGAAATGAAGAAATCAACAGGTAGCGGGCGTGATTTCCATCCCAGCCAAAACCACACAATGGTTTACATAAATGTCAGCTTATTTAGGATTTTTCAACACATATGTTTCATAACTTCTCAGTAAAGTGCGGGCCATAAAGAGATGAGTAACAAACTTTCCGGTTGCACTTAACAATTTCGTCATTAACTAGCGATTAGTCGGAACTGTTTAAAATTCATTAGGATTCCGAATATTCCCCGATATTTATGATATGAGATATTATGTATAATTTAAACGGAAAACACTGAATTGATGAACACAGTCAAACAGAAATCACTTTTCGTAATGAAGCAAGATTCTTCAGCCATTCCCTTTTATACAATTAAACATGAATCGAAGGCCTTAAACAGCTACTTAATTCTAATAACATTAACTTTGTGCAATTTGTATGGAATATTTCAGAAACAGGAACTAATTGGAATAGCAACACTTGCCATACCATAAACACTGTTTATTTTCGAGTTTCTTAAAAAAAAAGGTTCCAGTAGATGGATTGCTTKCTCATTATTTTTATTTTTTTTYGAACTTTCTTCTTCACTTATTTTATCCCTCTTAACTAAAAACTTTGTMAAATCGACGTATGCGYTCTTACATATAAAATTAACTTGAAGTTTTGACTCCTGTTTTTTCTTCTTGCTCTTTCTGCTAAAAAAATTGGGTGSYWAATCCAACCTAAACTGATGGCAATTGARTCGATCACGTCTGAGTTTCTGTTTTTAAATTTKCACGTCGTCTGAAAATCTATTTTCAAAGTTTCCCCAAAGATCYAAAGGCTTTAAATCTGACCATCCCGGAGGCCAAATAAATTCGCCTTCTTCCCCAAATAACCTGTTCATTTTGACAWTWTTTCCASGTSGAACTGCAKGRGTTTTTCGTTTCTTTYAAAAGYCTAAAAACACTTGAATTTYCCAAAAAAAATCACACWTAAGACTTCTTAGTTGGTGCCTCAGACATGTGCTTCATTATTATTACGCTCGATCAACAGACCGGGTAAATTCAGTTAATTCAAAATTATATAACAAAAAAGTTGGTCAGTCATATTCACCTTTAGATCCACTTTGGAGCAGGTAATTGCAAATTATCCAAAAACAAGATTGTCACTCAACAACCAGCACCTATCACTGTTGTATCATCCGCGTACAGTTCCGGCTTCAACTTGTCTCGACCGACCAGCGACAGTTCTGCAGGCAACACAATAAAACAATGAACGAATGAACACAGATCGGCATTTGTGTTTGCGAAAATCGCTTGTTCCGGATTGGTCGGTAACTGTGACAGAGCCAGCTGTCACCTTACCAATTATCGTCCGAGCGCCACCGTCCTCAGCTTCTCGACTACTCTGAGAAATGCGACGAACTCGCATTCGCTCAAAACAGTCAACTTGGCCGAGCGCGAAAGGGAGAGGGGGTGGATGTCGGCGGTGTTGCCGCTGCTGCAGACCGGATCTACACTTGTAGAGCTCGAGATTTTTAGGCCAGAGGAGTACCAAGTTTGTTTTCTGAGCGTCCAGCAGTTTGATCATTTTGAGTGGGCGTGTCCATACAAGTACATCTAGAGTGTCTTTGTCATGGGTCAACAATGTCAATGTCATTAATTTCAACAAAACGTCCATGTCTTCGGTTCTGCGTTGTTGAAGTGTAGAGTTGCAGAAATAGGAATGAAAGTGAAATGAGGAAGAGGACGACAAAAGAATGAAGTCAGTTGGAAACACAGCAAGGCAGAGTCGAACTGCTGAAAAGAGTGGAAACAATGGACTCCGGTCCTGTTAAGTGGCAGGGGACTCGATTTGAAGACTTCCTGCAACAAATCTGGGCGCTCGCAAGCCAGAGTCCAGGATCATGGGAGTCGTTTAAAAAGATAAAAGATAGTTATCTCTCTTCCGGGGTGACACGTTTCACTAGCTTGATATTTATAACATATTTTCAAGCGCATCGGTGCGTTCTTCAGTCTTCGTCATATCGATGAATCAGTCATTTGTACTAAACCCACAACTATTCTTAATCGGTCAATCAAGTCAATCACATCCGCAAGTAAAAGCATAAAATCTTACTCAGAAACATTCGCCGAATGAGGTTTCGGTTAATTTTACTATCGAAATCGATGTCGAAGATTTGAAGCAAACTTTTCTAACTTATTTTCAATTTTTTCAATTGGTATAATTTCATGTTCTTTCTGTGTGCGCTTCAACTTCAGTCAGTTTCTTATTCTTTCATCGTATAGGTTTACGTTCAATCTGTTTGCTTATCGCTTTTGGCTGTAGGTGTGCTCTGTGCTTCGTTTTGTTTGGTTTTTGCCGATGTTTTCTTCTATCTCTGATCGTAGGTTTGCTGGCTCTCAATGGCACTTTTTTGCCATTTTCAGTCAAAAGAAACTTTGTCTTTGCTTGGTTAAAATTGGTTTATTTATTAATTTCAGTCTTAGTTCTACTTCACCATTTTTGTTCTTTCTCAGGTATTTTTCGTTTTTGCTTCTGCGTCGGATCGCGCATTTCTTTGCTTCTTAACAGTTTTAGCCCGATGAAACTATATTCGCATTGTTTCCGCCACTTGCAATCTTTCCATCTGCAAGTTGTTTCATTTTCTTCATCCACTTACTTGCCATGGTTGTTTTCTGCTTACTTACACTTCTGATTGTGATTTTTTTGCGTCTATATGTTGTATTTTTCAAAGTCAAGCAAATTAATCAACAAGCAAAATCCCAGATGACACCAACTAAACATTTTTATCGTCCTGATTGAGAAACAACGCACTTAATTAGTCCAGCAAATAATTATTCCCTTATTAGGTCCTTTCATTCTATTATTCTTCATCAGTCATTTATTAGTTTATTCCGTTTTTTATTCGGTGTTGCTACCTTTATCTGTTTCTTCCGTCTGGGCTCAATTTGGGGATACTGTTGATTTTGAATATTTTTTTTCAGTTGATGCACGAACTGAAACAAGATGAAACCAAACTCAATAAATCAGAAGGAATAAATTGTTCATCAAACTGGTAATTGGCATAGTAAATTGACTAGTTGATATCTGCTAGATTATCATTTGAGAGTGAAATTGCGGAAACCCCCTTTTCCAGACAGTTTACCTAGATTACGTCCATTTCCGCGTTGTTCACCCACAAGAACACTCGATTCTTTGTAGGTTACGCGTTACATAAAGTCGGCGGATAACGTAACGTAATAACGAATCCATTATAAAATTAGCAAATAAGCTCAGTCTGACATTTCCGTAAGTTAATTTATAGTTTTTGCATGCACGTCTTCCTCTTGCAATTGTGATAAGATTGACAAAGAAACTTGTTGCTAAACTTCTGGATTTCCATACAGAATAATCGAATCTGTTGGAGATTGGAGACAAAACCACTCGTGCGCATTCCTGCTACTAAAGGTCTATTACAGATGAGTCAATATTAACATTCCTTCCTGGTTTAGCCGGTTAAATTTGCAACCATTTGGTTGAAGGTTGAGAATTCCGTTCGAATAGTGAGGAAACTAAACTTTTTTGCTAAATTGCCCGCTTTAATTATCTGCTGGCATAAGAAGCATACGGTGGGCGCTTCCTGGTTACCGCGTTTGCTTCCTCATTTGCTTCAATCAGTGCGCAGCTTTAAACCACTTGACCACCCACGACTTGTTTCATTCATTTAGGCTCCACCTTGTTTGGTTGGAGAAAAACTGCCGCCAAAATATCGAATTTCCCACGACTTATCTTCGGATTATTCCCTTCAAGATTCGCGAACAATGCCCAAGATGTATTGACACCATTTTAAGACGTTCTTCTCCGCGATTCATTGCAGAAGGTACCCGGATAAAGGTGGTGGCTGATTTATCATCTGCCCGAGAGGGAAGAATGTTTCGATGCCTAGATGATTTTGGGTTTCAGGTGGCTTGCTTCCATCGGGCTGCGTTCCACGTTTACTTTTTCATAGGAAACTCTTCACGGATTGTTGTGACAATTGACAATGCTTTAGCCGCTTTTGTCTTACTAGCGCAAGAAGAAAGTGAACTAGAAATTAATGAGTCGCCAAAAACACAAAAAAATGTCAAACATTAATTCAAAACCCTGAAAACAATGAAAGCTGATGTTGCGAAGTGAGGTTTTAAGGTGAAGTTTTTGTAAAATTTCGTCAATAAACCAGCTTTAATTTATTTTGAAAACCCCCACTTTGCAAATAGTGGTTCCTTTCACGGTAAAACTGATAATTTGGGAACATAGCTGGGGCCACACGTCGAACATATCCTTTAACTTAGAAGCGCCCATGTCGGTAAAACGCGCCTGATTTTCTTGAGACGTTGCAGGGCTTTTTGTGACCGTGGGAATCTTAAATGGGCCTCCTTTGGGGTTCTTTCAGTCTTGGGGTGCGCTTCGTAATGGTTCTTTGGAAACGCACAATGACCGCGGATTATTCGGATTTTATGGCCGCTCCTCTTTGATTGGCTCATTGATATTTATGAGATCCTGATCAAGGGTCGTTATGCACTGATTTGATTGAGTGTTCTTTTCTTCTTTTGGTCTCTTATCGGCATCCAAGGAATGAGTATCCGGTTAATGGATCCAGACAATTTTAATTCCGTTTCGGTGGCCTGATCTCCAAAAAAGGCGGAGGTTGTGTGTAATCTGATGACGTTAGTCGGCTCGAAACGCGGAATGCGAAAATATGCGCGGAGCGGACATGCCAAGTCTGTTCCATGAATCTTCACAAATAATTGTTGTGGACCGTGTTCGAAAACTATTTTTTCCGTCGCTTTTTAATCGCTATTTTCTGTTCTTGTTTCAGTGAGTCTTGTGCTGGAATATACAGGATTTGATCTGATTTTAATTGTTAGCTTGGCGCGCTTTGGGGTGATTCTGGACGTTCCTACTGCGAAAAGTTCACCAATAAAGTAACTGGCATTCTCGAACCAGCTCCTCAATCCTCAAAAAGTCCGTGAGGCCGCTAAAAATCAACAGAGCCTGGCATGTTGGCACCGATTCAACGCCGGTACTTCCTTCCTTTATGTTATAATTTTGAATATTTTTGTACTAGAAAATAGAAATTGTTTTGATGAGTCGCTTATATTTAGAACAACGATCGGATCGCTAATGATTCACCGGATTTGTGGAGAATTTCATTGTTTTTTTTCATGTGACGCATCTTTTTAGTGATGAATGTTCAAGATTTGGCAACTGGGCGCTTTAAGGGCTGCAGCCTGGATGTCATTAACATTCTTTTCACTTATTGGGACGAGGGTCAGAAGAGTCACCCCTTGGGAACCTGTTTGGTAGTTCGAAGTGGGGGCTTTTTAAGCCACCCCATCTCATGCACATGTGTCACTGTTCCAAAAAAAAAGACTCGGATTCAATGCCCATCGGCAGCACCGAACTGATTAAAATTCCGTTTCCTGATCTCGGAAAAAATGGAAATAACAATTGCAAAACCGCACTTCATCGCAATTAGGTATAAGGAAGCACAGCTGGTACGTTTCTTCTAGTCAAGGTCGATTTTGTTCACGGTCCGAGGCAAGAAAGGATTGAACAATGCTGTTCGCACATATTAACGACTTATGGTTAGTACTTAACCCATATCATTTTTGCACTTTGCTTCTGATAATCGGCAAATATTCTTGTCGCTTCCTACAGCCCAATTCCACTGTGCATTGCAGGCTGTTCCTCATTTAAGTGTTTCGCCATAGAAACAATCATACCTCATGGTGTAGGCCTGGGTAACTCAGTTAATTTTTAGGAATTGGCGCAGTGCTGCGCCAATGGCTTGGTGCGCCAACCCAGCGCACCGGCGCAGTAATTCAGTTYCGTTGCTGGGAAAATGTCGATGACTTTTTTACTTGTTTTTAGATTTATTTTAAGGGCCCTTTATTAATMATATTTTTTTAATTTTKTCAAAATTTCAGAATTTACCAGTTTTGGTCAAGTTACTCTTCTAAATGCTCAWTTTTCTAAAGTTTCAATTAAAATTCTGAAAATCTTTAGGTATTTTTGCTTTGCGATAAGTTTCAAAATCCCTTTCCAGCTTCGAATTTGTAACAAAAATCAAATAATTTTCTATCAAAAACCGAACACAATAAGCSAACGTTTATAACAGAWTATTTGGAAATCTCGTCACCTCCATTACTCTGAAGACTGTAGAGTTACTGTAAGTTACTACTGTAAATATGGTTTTTTAGTTTTCACTGATTTTTTTTCTTTACCATTTACTCAAAAAYGCTCCWTTTTGTAGAGTTTSACTTAAAAATACTGAYAAMCTGTAAAAACTTCTTTCAGCGTCGAATTCGGGATAWAAACKAAAATAAATTCCCCCCGGTTTTCCCCGAAAACCATTAAGGTTTYCTCCAAAACTGATCATAAAACTAAAAGTTTTTAATCCAAAACGCAAAAAA